AATTACAAAACTGTTTGGCCAGTGACTCTAGCATATTCCTAGCTAGCTCTTATATGAGAAATTAACCCATTTCTATCAATCTGGGTATCACCATAAGGTTGTAACCTACCAGTAAAGTTCCTAAGGTTCTGGTTTGTCCTTCTCTGGCAGCTACATGGTGTCTCCTTGACTCTTCCTACTCTCTCTCTCTCTCTCTCTCTCTCTCTCTCTCTCTCTCTCTCTCTGTGTGTGTGTGTGTGTGTGTGTGTGTCTTTGCCTTTGTCTCTCTGTACCTCTGTCTCTTCTGATTTCCCACCTGGTTTTACTCTGCCATTGACCCAAACAGCTTTATTCATCAACCCATAAAAGTACCATATATACAGAAGGTCATCCCACATCATCTTCCCTTTTCTGTCTAATTAAAAAGCAAGGCTTTAACTTTAACATAGTAAAATTACATATAACAAAACAGGTTCAAGCAGGAATTACAGTTACAATATTTAGTTTATTTGTATCTGGTAAAATTAAAGAAAATATGCTAGCATCTATTTTATCCTTGTGAGTCTAAAATTTCATATCTTATTCATCTTTTATCATAATTAAGGAAAATTAAAACTATCTATCATCAACTCTTAAAAGACCTCAGAAGGAATAATATTACCTAAGTAAACAGAAAGTGCATTGTAAGAAACTTCTAAAACTCTAAAATTAACCAAACATCTTGCCGCCTGGACAGTCACCCAAAGTTCTTCTATAAGATTGGGGCACCCATCTTCAACCTACAGACCCATAGAATCTGGCAGACACTTTCATGAAGCAGGACATTTGAAGGCTGTTTTGCATATCTTGGCAATTTGTCAGTTACTTTCTTCATGATCCAGCAGAATGTCTGGCAGTTTCTTCTGTAAAGCAGGAACCCTAAAGGACTGTCTGAATCTCTGTAGGCAAGTTCAGCAGTCATTTTTCTGTGGGTCCTGTGTGTCCAGTTTATACAGCATACCATCAATCAGTCCAGGCAAGAGCAGTTTCTCGCCCAAATTGCTAACCAACTCCATAAGGAGCTTCTTCAATGCCTACCATCGTTTTGAAGTAAGTGGTGCTGCCAGAAACAGACATGTCTCACTGTCAAGAAAAGCCTAACTTCATGAAGCATTTTAAATGCCATATTCTGTAGGTCTTTGGAGTGCTGAAGATTATCTAACTAAAATATATCTCTGTATATCTAGAAAACCTAACTAACATGACTACAAGTTTGACTATTATAAATGACTATCAATTAATCTGTATTTCTTAACTACACATTATATTTTAAGCGAGCTACACAAACACAACACTTTAAATAAGAGCAGAAATACATATATACAGTGTAACAAATAGACCTTAATTTGTAACAATAGACCTCTTTTAAGTGAAAACAAATATTTATAAACAATCATTTTGAGAATTTGGATGTAGTTTTCTCCAAACTGTTTCCTGCTCCCTGTTGGGGGAAGTATTTTTAGAAAATCATAGAGAGCTTTTTGGGGGGAGAGGGAGTCCTTGTTCCATCAAACCACATTAGATTGTAAGGAATCCACAGGTTCTCGTCTTCTGTGGAAACAAAAGCAGAAGCTCTTTTCCAAAGCAACATAACTGTGGACCCAAATTTTGAAGTCAATACCTTAAAATATATATGTTGGTTTAGCTTAGCAGCCCCAGAATAAAATGTCTGTCTGCAGTAAAAGTTTGAAGAAAACACATAATATGCATAATCCAGATTCTCTGTGTATTTTTCATCTTTACATGGCTTATTTTGTCTTTACTCTTTTTCTATGACTATGTGTACTGTTTTATATTATTTTAACTGTCTCTTTAAACACTTTGTTCCATTTTTTTAAACCTATTTCTTTTATAATGGTCTATACTCTTTTTCTTCTCTCTCCCAAGCCTAAGTACATTTATCCAACACTGTGACGAGAGGTCATTTTCATCTGAATCTGTCTTTATTGTGTATCTGTAATCATTTTCTGACAAGCAGCACTTTGTTATTTTTTTAAATGCTAAGCAGATGTGGCTAGAACCAACTCTGCATCCCTGCCTGTTTTTTCTACCCTGTCAAACATGGTGGAGATACGTTTACCACCTCTGCAAGCCATGCTCACCACCCTAGTTCCAGGGACACAGTGGGTCTATGTCACCATTAAACAACTAGTATCATGTTGCTCACAAACCCCATTTAAGTTCAGGACCTCCTGAAAGAGCCATAGTTCATGCTTCCAGCGTGGACTAGGAAGCTGGGATCTTAAAGAAGTCATACATTTTTTTTGCAGCTAAAATTAAGTCAGGAAGACTTCTCTTAAAGGAGCCGTGCCTCTGCTTGCTGCTGACAAACACAGTCTATCTGAAAAATTGCAGTTACCAAGAAGCTGTGCTTAACTCTGTTCTTTTGTGTCTAGAACTCCTTCCCAAGCTCTCTCAGTTTTTATGTGGATGTAGTTGCCCTATGTTGGGTAGCAATTTATTGGAGTACAAAAGAATTTCACACTAACCTGTAATAGAGTATAACAAACTCTTATTGATTTTGGGGTAAACTCACAGAAAGAGTAGCAATCTGCAGTTCTCTGCACGTGCTAGGAACTGGAACCAAAGCCAGCAGCCAAGAGGCCCATGTACACATTACACCTGCATTTATAGGACATGAAACCACGCCCAAAGTGGGCCAGTATCTTAAAGGCTACTGGCTGAAGGACTTCCCACAGCATTGAGTCATCTCTCCAGCACATCCCACACCAGGTTCAATTTCCAGTGTAGACTAAAGTAGGTGACTACATAGATGTTAGGAAGTTGGAAGTGGTGGGAGCAGAGAGAGGAGTGACTGTGACTTCCTGAAGCTGGATAAGACAAGATGTTTTTGGAGGATAGACAATACAGAAGTCAGGGGGTGGATGGAGTCAAGTACCAAGATATAGAATCAGATCTACAGTGGATGAACACACACACACACACACACACACACACACACACACACACACCAGAGGAAATGGCAAGAACTCAGGCAGGAAATGAAGGGCTCACCACAAAATGAAGGGATGGAATCATGAGTCCTTGCTTCTCCTGGATGTGAGAAGGAAGCCTAACTCCAGGATGCTGTTTTTGTCTTCATGAGTGATGGGTCCTTGCCTACTGTGACCTATGGACAGCCCAAGGTAGACCTAACAAGGTGTTATTATCAATTAGCCCATTCATGGGGCCACAGCTGACAAACAAGAGCAGAGACTGATACCCAGGGAAGTGAAACCACGGTGGGGAAACTAGAAAGAAATCAATGGACAGAGCTGGATCATGGGAAGTGCGGGAAGTGAGAAGAGGCAAGCAGAGCAGTCAGAGGGAAGGACAAAGAAGAGGAGTTGCCCCACCAGACTCCCTGGACTCATAAGTAGGATACTGAGCTGTGGTGGGGCTGTGGGAAGGCTGAGTGAACGGTGAATCTAGGACATAGATTAAGCCCCTCCACACTAACTGAAAGGGGGTTCACTGTGTTGACTACTGGCTACTTTCTGTTATGGCCACCTGATGGAGCTTGGTGTTTCCTGTAAAGATTAAGATCTTGTCACTATGGTCTTTCTTTTCCTTCTCTTCCCATCAGCATTTATCTCTATGAGGAGTTTTTAAGCATAATACATTTTAGTCAATCTGTGATTTACTCATTTACCAAACATGCATTAAGCCTCACTATGTGTCAGGACATCTAGCTTTGTTGCAGATGCAGTGGAAAGTATTGCTGACAGTGAACCGTCTTGCTGACCAGTTCTATGTGTGACCCTAAGCCATTGTTCCTAAAAACATTAATCCACCACATAAGCATTTCTAAGACTCTTCTAACTCAAACCTTCCATGACTTCCCCAATGTGTGTACTGAACACATACTATGCATGTAAGCATGCCATTTTCCAATCCAAGTGAAAAAACATGGTGAAAGACAATTTCCTGGTTTAGAGATTCATATGAAAAGTCTTACAACCCTATAGACACTGCGGATTATAGATTCCATCCATTGCCTTCATTCGAAAGAACTAAATTAGTAACTTGGTCAGGAAACCCACCCTGTTAGACTCGACATGTGCTAGGATGTGTTATCCAGACTCTACCAGTAAGACACGGTCTGAATTTGGTTAAAACCAATGGGACATCATTCACATTTTAAAACAAAACTTTACATGGATGACCAAGGACGCACTGCAGTAAGTGTTGTTATGCTGGAAATAGGAAGTGTCCCGCGCTGAAAGTGGCTGATATGGCAGTTTCACATCCTCTTCCAGCTCTCAGAAACTAAATCCTGGGAATGAACGTGGCTTCTAAGAAGTGAGAGAGTGATGAAGGGGGTGGATGACTGATGGTTTCCAGCAGAAACAGTAAATAGATAAAGAACATGGACTGTTAAGAAGGTCCTGATGAGATTGGACACAGTCAGGGTGTATTGTTTTGGGAGACAGGGTCTCACATACCCATGGTTAGCCTCAAGCCAATGATGTAGCTGAGGATGACCATGAACTTCTGGTTCTGATGCCTCCAGCTTGAGAGGGCTGGGATTACAGGTAGGTCTCCCCACTCCTGGCTTTCCTGGGAGGTAGTTTCTAATGAAACTAGTGATTATGACACTGTTCTTTAGAATTGATAGCAAATGGGAAGAAACGTTGAATGCCCCATCCCTGGTGAAACCACCATTGCCCTTGATCTTGACTTTTCTTTATGCCTCTTGCTACCAGCTTTAGGAATCACCAGGAGGAATGGAAACAGAGCCTGTGTGCTTTAAAGACTATAAGAATAGGTCACGAGTTGAGAGCTGGGACTACGTCTTGGGGATTCTATTCTTAGGGATCCTGAGCCCCATGTATTCACCGAGGGCCCTGGGTTGTGCAATATCCAACATGACACCATTGTTGTGCTGAAAACTTTCCCTCCACACCCCCGGATTTCATTTCCCCTTCTTCCAGGGCTGCCTATAAAGAGAAGGAGCATATGTCATCAGATACCAGCAGAACACAAGCGGCAGTGAGGACCGGTCTCTGCTGACAAGCCCCAGCTCCATCACCTGCTCTGCAACATGAAGGTCCCCACAGCTGCCCTTGCTGTCCTTCTCTGCACCATGGCTCTCTGTGACCAAGTCTTCTCAGCTCGATGTAAGTCCACATGGCTACAGCGCATGTCCCCACGCTGGTCTTGGGCAGACCACAGCAGTCTTTTCTGTGGCTTCAGAGTCTACAAGAGAGAAGAAACTGATCTTTCTCTTTAAGATTTTTATTTTTCTCTCTGTAGGGTGAGGATGTCTAGCCTCATGTAGGTACCTGGGACTTGAAGTGAACAGGGGGAGTGATGTCAATCACTTACCAGCCAGCCCTAGGATGCCTAACTCTGTCTCTGGGATGCCTTAGGCCATGCCCCAGGTGTCCTTTGCTAATTTCTTGTATCAGAGAAAGCTGTGGAAGGGATGTGGAGTAACCTACAGAGAAAGAGGAAGCCCATAGTTTAGAGCAAGAAAGAGACCAGAAACAGAAACAAAGACAGATACAGAAGTCTTTTCTAGTCCCAAATGCGGTCAGAGCCCTAGCCTTCCTTACCCTGCCAAGAAAGTGTGTTGGCTGATTTTCCTGCTCAATGGTGACTTGAACACACTCTGACTTTCCCCTTTCAGATGATGCTGACACCCCAATCTCCTGCTGCTTCTCCTATAGCCGGCACATTAACCGCAGATTCATTTCTGACTATTTTCAGACCAGCATCCATTGCTCTCAGCCAGGTGTCATGTAAGTTCTCCTGCTTTCTCTGAAATTGTGGGTTGTGGAAGGGGGTTATGGAGGTTTCAAAGCCTTGGGTGTGGGGGAGCACAGGAACCTCTAAAGGGGACCAGTGAGAGAGGCTCTTTAGAGCATCACTGATGATGTGTGGAATGGAGACTCCGCAGAGGACTTCAGACTCTAGTTCTAGTTCTTGACCCTCATCTCTCTCCACAGTTTCCTAACCAAGAGAAACCGGCAGGTCTGCGCTGACCCCAAAGAAACCTGGGTGCAAGAATACATCGCTGACCTGGAGCTGAATGCCTGAGAGGCTTGGAGGCAGTGAGGTGTCCCAAGTCCACAAGAGTACACAGCTAAAGTACAGGTGACCGTCCAATAGTGAGATCCATGGGAAGTATGTATACACTCCACATGGAGAACCCGACTGCAGAGCTTCAGGGACACTTGCCTTTTGGATAGTCACCGTCAATTCTGTAGACATCTTGTGGAAGCATGACATTTCTCCCTTCCAAAATATCCCAGGAGTGGATAAATCGTTCATTGAGATAACCTGACTTTTCCTCTGCAGGCAACTGGATACCTTTTCCCACGCTGTGAAGTTCTGGTTTGAAAACATTCACTCAGCCAAACCTTTGTTCTAATAGTGTAATCTGCATAAGTTAGTCCCCCACAATTACCCTTATTGACAGGATTCATTGCCAATAGTGGAGCCCTAGGCAGGAGGAATTGAGCACAGTCACAATATGTCTGCTCTTACCTGATAAACAGGTCTGGGTGGCCCTGAATTCTCTAACAACAGACTCGGGAAGGTGGAATCTACTGGCCTTTTGCTCTAACCCAACAAGCTAGTAATATTCTGTATTTACCCTTGGTTTCTTGGTTTCAATTAACACAATAGCATAGCCAAGGACATTAACTGTTTATGCCTTTGCCACTAGAGATGCAGGAGAAAGGCTTGAGTCCATACACCAACCTCAGAAAGAAATCAGTTCTCACCCGGTGTTGGCAGGCACCCTGCTGGAGCCAGAAGTCTCCAGACTGATTCCCTTTAACTCAGCCAGCTAGATACTGTTGAGAATCAAACACCTTGCCTTCCTCCCAAGCCCGGGAGTAGTTGCTATGGTTACCAAAGCCTTATTCCCAGTCACCAGGGAAAGAAGCAGAAATGTTCAGAAAGCACAGCAGCAGTGCTGGGCTTTTCTACGATTATTAACCATAAGCTTCCAGCTCCACTTAAGAAATGTAGTTAGTGCATGAAAATGTCTTCTTAGAATTCTGTCGTGATTTAAAGTCCCATTCTTAATCAATCCTCCCGATATCTGCCAGGGAGTTTCCTAGTCATGCCTCTCCCTCTGAGATGTAAGAAGAGGCTTCCTGTATCTGTTTCTGTGAGTCTGTGAAAGGCATGCTTGATACTATTGTAACTGCCTATCAAATTGTTAATTTGTCTGTATGATATAAAAAATGAAAGTCTTGTGGGGAATGATCCTTTTCCTTCCTCGCCCAAAGAATAAAGAAACCTGCAGAAGAAACGTGCTTGACTCTGTTTGTTCTACCCCTCAGATCCCGTTGCCCAGCAAGTTTTCACTTGCTGTAGACATCATTCTGGACCCGGAGGGAGAGCTGAGGCTGGGACTCAGCAGCCCCTGTTAGTGAGGCAATCAGAAACCTATGAGCCCGGTGTGAAGCAGGGATCTAAGCCTCAAAACAGCCCAGTCACCTCCACAGCTCCATCTCCTGTACACTGTCTGCTGCCAAGTAGCCACACACAGGGACTCTCAACTTCAATTCTAATTTAATTTTGTAATTTATTTAATTGTCACACTTGTGTTTGTGACTCTTCGTTCTGAACGATCTCAGGGTACTTTCCAACACCCATTCCCTCTCCCCCCTGCTCACACTGTGTTTGGTGGCAGTGGGAGTGGCTGTCACCAGCCTGTTCTAGGTAGATATGGTGACAAGATCACATGCTGACAAAGAAACAATGGATGCTTTGTTTACACAGAGGAATAATAAATATGCTCTTATATAAGTGACTGGGATTGAGATTTTTTATTTTTTTCTTTTTCTGGAAAATCAGAATTACAGATGAAGAGGAATAACAGCAAACAATAAAAAGATGTAAAATAGAATCCCAGGGTGGAGGGAAGGTTCGAGACAGGGTTTCTCTGTACCTTTGGAGCCTGTCCTAGAACTAGCTCTTGTAGACCAGGCTGGCCTCGAACTCACAGAGATCCGCCTGCCTCTGCCTCCCGAGTGCTGGGATTAAAAGCATGCGCAAGCACCGCCGGCTTAACCAAGCTTTTTAAGAACCGTTTTGAGGATTGCTCCAAACTCGGTGTGTTTTATACCATGTCCATTTGATCTGGCTTTTTGTTGTTGTTGTTTTGAGTCAAGTCTCACTCTATAGTCCTGTCTAGCCCGAAGCTCAGAGATTTGACTGCCTTTGCCACCTGATTGCTGAGATTAATGGCACAACTACGCCATATTTTCCTTACCCCCAAAGCTTATGTATTGAGATATTAGTCCCCAGTACAACCGTGTTCAGAGGTGATTGGTGATGAGGGCTCTAGCCTCATGAATTGTATTGAAGTCATACTTGAATGGGTTTAGAGAGTTGGGTGGGATTTCTGTGATAGCAGCAAGACCTATTTCTTCGTTGCTTCTCTTCACATGCCTCTGCCATGATGAGGCCTCACCCTTGGCTGAAAGTACCGTGGCCAACTTCAGAAACCATGAGAGGAAATAAACTTTTCTTCCTTTGAACTGAGGTTCTCGGGTGTGTTGTCAGGGCGATCGAGAGCAGGCTAAAGCACCTGCCAGTGCGGCAGTGCACCTGAGACTGCACAATCAACCATCCCTACCTGTCAGAAAGGGAAAGCTGGGCTCAGAGAGCTAAAACTACTTTACCAAAATCAGAACAGAAATGATACAACCAAGTCACCACACTCAACTTTTACTTGCAGACTCCTCTATTCTACTGACCTGCAGCAACCGCCCAGTCAAGCAACTACCCCAGATCAAGCAAGTCAGTGGTCCAATAGAGAAGCACTCCTGGGGCTGGCAGGATGGATAAAGGTACCTGCCACCAAGCCTCATGGCATGGTTTAGCTCCAGGTCCTATGTGGTAGAGAGAGAACCAACTTCTTCAAATAATCCTCTGATCTCCACATGCACAGAAAACGAACAAATGAAAATTATTTTTTCAAAAGGAGAGGCTACCATTACTGAAGCCTCCTTGTCCCCAGGTTGGCAGGGTTGTCTGTAAGTGACATCATTTCTTTCCTGAAGTTCCACCAGCAAAGGGGGCAGTTACTTAAGCCTCTTACTTTACCTGCAAACTATGGAACTGTCAATCAACCAGCCATTACTGTTCTAATGAGGGAAGCTGACCTGAGAACTTTGGGCCCTTTAAATATCTCCTGGCTGTCCAGTGAGTCGCTAGTTCAGCTGCCCAAACCGTAGGAGACCTCAGTTTACCTGCAGAAACCGCCAGAGCTGTCAAGGTCACAGTGGAATCTCCTGCATCAGCTCTAAGCGACATTATGTGGGTGTCTGTGTTTCACTCACCATCATTCCAGATAACCTGAGATCACCCCAAAAGCTATGTTTGCCTCTAGCAGCCCAGCAGCTTCAGATGACACTGTCTACAGCTGTGTCTCTGAGCATCTTAAGATGTCTTTAGTAGAAAGGGGAGAAGCATGTGTTCATGACAGTTCAGTCGGTAGAGCATGAGACTCTTAATCAGGGCCATGGGTTCGAGCCCCATGTTGGGAGCCACAATGTAACGGTGCAAACAAATGCAGACAGATTGTAAATATATATATATATATATATATATATATATATATATATATATATCTTTAATGGAGAAATAGACTTAGAGAACCACCATTCCCGCGGAGACCAGGAAAGCAGAAGCAGTGGCTGGGAGCATGCTCGCCAAATTTATAGGCAAACATTAGCCCAAGGCGAACACGCCCCCTAAGGGCGGGACTTATCCCTACACCTATGTTCTAGGCAAGGACTTAGAAATGTTTGAGGGGTGGGCTATTATTGATTTTCTTTGTTGGCATATGAAGGGCATTCACATTTTGTATGTGATATACATATTTCTTATCTTTTGCTCTGCAGAGTACAAAAGTTTGTTTTGCCCATATCAATGAACCTCACAGAGTCGTTATCTGATGCAAAATACATGAGGGTCTTATAGTTTAGCAAGCTTTAGATCGGGCCACCAAACTCCAGCACACTGATGAGTGAAAAGAGGATGCTTCCCAAGTTCAGAAAAAGACAAGCTTTTAAAGGGGAATTGCCACAACTAGGGAGTACATGTCTTGGCATCTTGGGATTGGGTAAAGAAGATTTTTGAATCCAGTGGTCATTTTGGGGGGCACAAAACCCTAACAAAGCTACATAAATTGTTGTCAGGATATCTGCATGGAGATCCACGTGTCTCTACCCCAGATTAAAGGTGTGAGTCACCAATGACCAACTATAAATTAATGTTTTTGAATTGAAGCTAATAAAGTACCTATATTAGCCATTCTGAGGGTGAAAACAGAACAAGTTCGTACCCAGCTGTTAAGCTGGCTCCTGGGGAGAAGCACGAAAGTCCCCTAGCCTGCTGCTTTCCATTGTAGCTGGTACTTCTGGTGACTATCACCTGGCACTGGCATTTCTAACACTGTGAAGGTCCATCCTTGCAACTGGACTTTCTTTGGGACTCTAGTCTAAGCTTTTCCCTATGATCGATTTATGTCTTTAAAGCCATTATTGCCTGGGTGAATCTAAATTACAAAGTTTAACTGCCAGAGCAAGGTATATTCTTATGTATAAAAGCATTGAGGAGCAGCTTTAATATTTTAAAATCATATTATTTATATATATACACATCATATATATATACACACACATATTATATACATATGTGTGTGTTTGTATGTGTGTGTGTGTATATATATATATATATATATATATATATATATCTTGTTTTCAGGACAGGGAGATGAATCATCATACAAAAATATAGTGTCATGCCTACACTACGGGATGGTCCACAAGTCGGGTAAGGGGCTGGTGATTAAAACACACACACACACACACACAAACACACACACACATCATCCTTGAAACAAGAATGCCAATTTTATTGTGTTCCAGGGTAGCTTATACAGGGACTCTCCTTGACTAACAGCCATGCCCTAGCTCTTGAGATTTTTCAGCTGCAAGCCAACCAGAAACCACTTTCCTGCTATCAGGAACTCATGAGGGTCTCGTGCCGAGAGCAGCTGCAAGCACAGGAAAACAAGTTGTTTACTTCGACAGGCAAGGGAGTCACAGAAAATTCAGGGTCTGAGGGTCTGCAGTCCCCAACACAAAAATCTATCCCAATCCAAACTATCTTGGAGATTTGTTGTTGCCTCCTAGTTAGGCCCACTCCACACCATCAACTTGAATCAAGATGGTGGTGAAATTATGTGGCATCTATGGCAATCCAAAATTTAAAATAGAAACATGCCTCATGGTTTCTTTGAAATTACTCGTGCGTAGATTTTAAGTTACTAAATCCCAGTGTTACTAGTTAACTTTTTAACGAGTTTTATTTAACTTTAACAGATTTTTGACCATATTTAACAAAATAAACTCATGTAAACCAAGTCCAAATTTTTACTGTTCTGCTTTGTTTTCTTTTCCTTGTCACTGTGTCAGGGTCTCAGATTGACAGAGTGGCACAGAGGAACCTTTTAAATGAGCATGCCTGGGTCTAGTGAAGGAAGAGCCATAAGCTAACTCTAGAGCCAGCTTCTCAATAAAGAACAGCATAAAACAGTTTCAACATTACCGCCATCAAAAAGACATCTGAATTCCTGCTCATCTGAATTCTCAGCCATACGGTGGGTGGTGACTGGCTGCTGTTGGTGCAAACAGTATCCAAACCATTTTCATCTCAGTTCCATACTTGCATCCAAACTTGCAAGTACACCAGAAAACACAGACAAACATTTAAACAAAACAAGCATACACAATTTTCTCAAGAAATTGACAAAACTCTTTAACAAGACAAACAATTTTTTAAACAAAATTAACCTAGTATGGTCAATTTTTAAACTTGTTTTATGCATTTTTTCCTCAAATTTAGTATTTGCAGATATGAAATAAACACAGCAAACATATTTCACATCACCTGGCCTTCTACCACTTACTATATAGCTTCAGCCCATTTCTCTGATTTCATAAACATTGCTATTTAGGACAAATTTCTCTTCTTGTTTCCTTCCTTTAATTTTTTTTTTTTTTTTTTTTTTTTTTTTTTTTGGTTTTTCGAGGCAGGGTTTCTCTGTGGTTTTGGAGCCTGGCCTGGAACTAGCTCTTGTAGACCACACTGGTCTCGAACTCACAGAGATCCTCCTGCCTCTACCTCCCGAGTGCTGGGATTAAAGGCATGCGCTACCACTGCCCGGCCATCCCTTTATTATTTTCATCTCCTGCCTTCTTTCTTGATTTCCAATTAACATAAAAATTT